CCGGCGGGGCGCGGGGCGGCGAGCGGGCCGCGCCGCCCGCCATGGGCATCCTGGAGAAGATCTCGGAGATCGAGAGGGAGATCGCGCGCACGCAGAAGAACAAGGGTGCGCGCCCGGCGGGAGCGCGCGGCGCCGGGGCCGGAACCGCCGGGAGCGGGCACGTCCCCGCGGCGGATCCACCGGGAGCCGGCAGATCCCGGGCATGGATCCGCCGGGAACGGGGCGCYGCGGGGGACTGGACCCGCCGGGAAGGGGCAGATTCCCCATGGAGGATCCACTGGGAAGGGGCAGATCCCGGCAAGAGGTCTGCCGGGAATGGGTAGATCCCTGTGGAGGATCCRCCAGGAAGGGGCAGATCCCCACAGTGGATCCATCAGGAAGGGGCAGGTCCCCGCTATGGATCCACTGGGAAGGGCAGATCCCCACGGTGGATCCATTGGGAAGGGCAGATCCCTGTGGTGGATTCATCAGGAAGGGCAGATCCATGTGGTGGATCCATTGGGAAGGGCAGATTCCCACTGTGGATCCATCGGGAAGGGCAGATTCCCACTGCGGATCCATCGGGAAGGGCAGATCCCCACGGTGGATCCATCGGGAAGGGCAGATTCATGTGGTGGATCCATCAGGAAGGGCAGATCCCTGTGGTGGATCCATTGGGAAGGGCAGATCCMTGTGGTGGATCCATCGGGAAGGGCAGATCCCCATGGTGGATCCATTGGGAAGGGCAGATACATGTGGTGGATCCATCAGGAAGGGCAGATCCCTGTGGTGGATCCATTGGGAAGGGCAGATTCCCACTGCGGATCCATCGGGAAGGGCAGATCCCCGCRGCAGGGCTCCGTGTCACCCAGGCCCCCAYGCTGCTCACCGTGTCCCCGGCTGCCGCCCTCCCTCCCTGCCCAGCACCCTCGGAGCYGCTCGTTTCTCTCACATATTCATTTATTTAACATTTATTTATTTATTTGGTGCCTCCATAGCTGCCCGTTTCTCCCCAGCCTCTTCTATCCTGCGAGTTACTACAAGGGCTCCTTTCCCAGGGCCGATWCTCCGCAGGATTCGGCAGCCCCGTGTCCCAGACAATCACCCGGGGACCCTCAGAAGCCCCCCAGCACTTCTCTCCCCGGGGACCCTCGTTTGGAGAAGGGAATTAACGACTTTGTGATAACCCCCCGCTGTGTTCCTGTCCCTGCAGCCACCGAGTACCACCTGGGCCTGCTCAAGGCCAAGCTCGCCAAGTACCGCGCGCAGCTGCTGGAGCCCTCCAAGTCCTCGGCCGCCAAAGGAGAGGGCTTCGATGTGATGAAATCGGGCGATGCCCGCGTGGCGCTCATCGGCTTCCCCTCCGTGGGCAAGGTCAGCGGGCGCCGGCGGGCGGCTCTTGGCCCTGCACGTCCTGCCCTCGCCTCGTGTGAGCCGAGAGGAAGGTGCTGGGGCAAAAGCTGGAAGGGAGAGCGGCGGGAAAACGGTCCCTGTTTTGGTGGGGATGGGAACTCGGCCCCGTGCAGCCGCGGCGCTGCGGAGGAAAGGGCAAAAAGGGGTTTTCATGCAGTGAATGTCCTGGCAGCCCCATGTCGCCGCTTGTCCCTGTGCCCAAAATTGCCCCAAAAGTGCAGCATTTACCCTGCTGGGTGTTCTCAGTGCCCCCGATGGCCACTTTTGTGTTATGAGTTTTGCCGTGCTCTGCCCGTGCTGCTGTCCGAGCATCTATAGTTACGGTGACCTCTTGCATTTCAGTCCACGTTTTTGAGTTTGATGACCTCAACGGCCAGCGAAGCTGCATCGTACGAGTTCACAACCCTCACGTGCATCCCAGGAGTCATAGAAGTAAGTGGGACTCTCCTCCCTTTCCCAGGAACTGCTTGTGGCAGGAAACCCAAGCTCGTAACCACGTCTCTTTGCACCAGCTACCACTGGGAAGTGGGAGTTAAGCAGTGCAGTGATATCCAGAGCTCTCTGCTGACTCCTGCTTTAAAATTTAAGAGGTCTTGAGTGTTTTGCACTCAAATTTTGCACCGGGTCTTGTCTAACCTGCAGTGCTGATTTAGCACTTCCATGCACACAGCTCTTGGGGGTTGACTGCATGCTGAGGGGTCGGGTACTGCAGTTGGGCTGACCAGAGCAATAGGACAATTCTCAGCTGAATTTTTTATAACCACTCTTGGCGCCATGGACCAGATGGCTGGAAACCTTGGCAGATTTGTTTTTAATGAAGCTTTCAAAAGAGGCAATCTGTACTGTAATCAGGTTGGAAATAAAATAAAACTACTCCTGTCCTCAAGGAGTTTTATGAGTGGTGCTCGGAGCATCCATCAGTAAAGCAGGTGATAAAGGGCATCAAASTGAAAAACATCCAAGAGTCAGGAGAAATTTTGGGTCAGAATTGAAAGCAGAGTTAATCAATGCAAACATAACTATTGGTATTAAAATAAATAGAAATATTAGAACACGTTGAAACGCGACCTTTACCTGCAGTAGCCGGTTGAAACACTTAGGGCTTCACCACAAGAGYAGCTTGGAAGCAAATGACCCTGCAGCTTTGATGAAAAGAACGTCCTATTATTTCCTGGTGCTGGAAGAGCTGCAGCACAGCTGGTTTGTTCTCATGCAACTAGATAGGGACAGCGGCTTCGCTTGTTACACTGCTTTGTGTGTTAGACCAGAAAAATGCGGGGTTTTTGTTTATCTTTCTTTTCCATTTCACTAGCTTGGGATAATGCTGCTTTTGTGCTGGTTCCCTGGGGCTTGGTCAGTCATCTGACACCTCGGGGTCGGACCCTAACGTGTTGCAGTGTGGYCAGGGTTGTTGAAAACTGTTTAATAAGAGATACTCCGGAGAGTATTCCTGGTGTCTCCTCTCTGGAGAGTGCCCTGCTCTGTCAGGTTTATTCCTGACAGAATTCCTGGCAGATTCTTCCACTTGGGACCTTAGYGCTTGCTTAGAGCTTTCGAGGTGCCTTAGAGGTCCTGCACGAGGCTTTCAGCTCTCTACCCGTTTCCTTTTCAGTACAAAGGAGCCAACATTCAGCTCTTGGATCTGCCTGGGATCATCGAAGGAGCAGCACAAGGTTGGCTCATCTCTGTGTGCGTGCAGCTCGAGGAGCTGCTGTCAGCAGCGTGCTGGTCGCTGCTCTGCTGGGCCACGAGTTCCCGCGTTGCCTTTCCAAACTTCAGGGTTCTTGATCTTGGAAGTGAGGCGCGATTCCTAGCCCTGAGCCCACGTAAGGCTCTATATGGAGCAGAAAGATGCTTTCCTGGAGGTGGGAGCCAAAGCAAAGCAGTCACTTCTCACCTTCCTGTATGAGTGTTACCCTGCTCATCTGCTTTCTAGAGCAGAGGAGATCTAAAGAAAGATGCTGGGGAGGCGGAGGGGGAATTACAGCTGAACGAAGCTGAATCTCTTGACTGGTTTCCTGAGTTCCTGCCAGGCCTCCCATGACCCCTGATTGTGAGAAGGGATGTTAGCTTTGTCCCTCTGCTTCATCACCTCATGGGCTAGACTAGTCAAAAGAAGGCTTGGGAAATTCAGGAAAATCCTGTAATGGTCTTATCCTTCTTGACCTTGGTAATAAGGGATCCCTCCTTTTTTTAAAAAAACAAAACAAAAATAGCCTCTTTGCAAGGGTGCCGTTGCCCTCATCACTTTTCTGGGAAGCCCATCTCTGCCACGTGGAACTCCAGCACTGCACGTGTCTCGGGGTGCCTGCCCTGCAGAGCTCAACCCCTGCAGCCTCACGGGGCTTCACGCTCGCTAGGCTGCAGAACAGGCAGTGCAGAAGCAGCAGCAGGAGTATTTGGGCTTGTGTTACATGTAAGGGAACACGAGGGAGCCAGATGTGCTCCCTCATTCACCTCCAGCAGTTGGATGCAGCCACTACAGAACTGCAGGATCTTTTTTTTCTTGTTTCCGAGCAGCTCTGTGGGCTGGGAGTCCCTTGTCTGACAGAAGCCAAGCTGTTTTCCTACCCCAATTCCCTACTCTCTTCTCAGGGAAGGGCAGAGGCCGGCAGGTCATAGCGGTGGCCAGGACTGCAGACGTCGTTATCATGATGCTGGATGCCACCAAGGGTGAAGTACAGAGGTGAGTAGGTGCTTCTGGGCTGCGGGCTGGCAGGCCAGGGCCAAAAGTTCCCCTGTGCCCAGAGAAACCTCTCTGAAATGATGGGAGCTGCACATATTTGGGAACAGGTATTTGTGTTCTACAGGATGAAGCAGAAATTGTGTTCCTCAGAAGGATGCTGGCTGACTGGGTACAGCATTTAGAGTGTTTCCTAGGAAAGGAGGCTCAGGCCTCTCAGCTGAAGGATCTTTCCTGCAGGATGGTTGTTTAGAGATGAGTTTTCGACCACCGACTTTCCTGCATTAGCTGTGGCTGTATGTTGCCGTGCAAATTTATGAGAAGGCTCTGTCAATACTGAGCTAAAGATGATAGTCAAGGAAACATCTGGATCTCATCTGACCAAGCTCAGTGTGAAAGGTACTGACGTGCACTGTCCCTGCAGGGCCCTGCTGGAGAAAGAACTGGAGTCTGTAGGAATCCGTCTGAACAAAAGCAAACCAAATATCTATTTCAAGGTGAGATTTCAGCCAGTTCATGCCTGGCTGCCTAATGGAAAGCAGCATGACTTCGTGCTGCCTCTTGTGTTGGACAGACTGAAGAGGGGCTGTGGATTTTGCAGACCGTTCTCAAGTTGTTCCTGTTGCCTTTCCACAGCCCAAGAAGGGTGGAGGAATCTCCTTCAACTCGACTGTAACATTGACCCAGTGCTCGGAGAAGTTGGTGCAGCTCATCCTCCATGAATACAGTATCCTTTCCTCAAAGGGGAGACCCCTGCACTGCAGATGCAGCTCATAAGTCAAGTGGTACCAGCTGTGGGGCTAGACCTTTTGATGACTCCTGGTGCTTGCTGGGTTAAGGACAAGCTTGGTTGTGTCTTTCCCTTTTTTTTTGTTCCGTTTCCCAGTCCTCCAAGCAGCACCAAGCAAGCTTGGCAGTTGACTCAAACAGTGTTTAAAGTGTTGGGGTTTGGGCCTTGACAATGTTCACCTCAGAAATCTTCAATGCCGAGGTCCTCTTTAGAGAGGATTGTTCTCCCGACGAGTTCATCGACGTGATTGTAGGCAACAGGGTCTATATGCCCTGCCTCTATGTGAGTATCTCAGGAACAGCCCGTCCCTTACAGCACCAAGCATCCCCTTCACTCACTGATCCCGAGCAAGACCATTTTTTGCTGAAATAAACTCTGTGCATCCTAACGCAGTGGCACTGGAGGGTTCAAGAGATAGGAAATGCTTTTCAGTGGGGAGCTTTTTGCTGGCGTTCCCGTGCAGCGGCACTGTGTGCGTGTCCTGTGCCCTCTCGTGGCCGCTCGCCGAGGAGCAGCAGCGAGTTGGGTGCCTCGGTGCACGGGCTGGGCCTGCACAGCGCAGGTGCTGCTGCAGGGTCTGCATTTGATTCTTCAGGAATGATGCCGTGGGCCAGAACACGCCAGCACTGTTTGACAGTGGCCGGGTTTATAATGAGATCCAAGATCCTGGAGAATATGTCACAAATCATTGCAAGGGGAGAAACTTAAATGGCTTAAACTTATACTTAGATTTCTGAAGTTCAGCAGTTTATTCTGCTACAAACTTTGGCCTTCCCTCTGTTTGGTGTGATCTGTGTTTCTGCCCCAAACACCAGGGCTGTCCTGTTGCAGTTGCATGCACACATTGTAGCTCCTTGTAGTACTGCTGGATTGATTTCTTAAGGGCTGTGTTGTTTTTCCTTTGACTTAGGTTTATAACAAGATTGACCAGATATCTATGGAGGAGGTGGATCGTCTTGCTCGGAGGCCCCACAGTGTTGTAATCAGGTAGGAGGACCTGCAGCTCTGAGGTTGCTTTATGCCTTGGCCCAAATACTTTGGTGGTTCATTTCACATCTCTTTCTCCAACTTTTCCTCCAAGAAGGGGCTTCTCCCTGGGCCACCTCTAGCTGCTGGGGTGAGAAGTAGAGGGCTGCTGTGCAGTGTTTTCAGGGCTGCCTTCCCTGAAAACGCTATCTGTCTGCAGGCCAGAATAAACCAGTCTGGCTTGTTCCCTTAGAAGTGCTGATATATCTGGCTGGGGCTTTGCTGCTTCAAAGCTGCTTTCTCCTCTGAAAGCTCTATTTGTTTCACCTTGTTTTTTTCCTCTACTGACCTCATTAGACATTTGTTCCCTGGTGCTTTAATAAGATGTTTCACCTTGCTCTTCTGGCTCTCTAAATCACAACAGCAGTAAACCCTGAGATATTGATGGTGTTTTGCAGCTGTGGCATGAAACTGAATCTGGATTACTTACTGGAGAAGCTCTGGGAATACCTTGCACTTACCTGCATCTACACCAAGAAACGAGGACGTAAGTGAGCGTTAGCTGAACTGAAAAGGCACAAAGGGCTGCAGGGCACCAACCACACACAGGCTGCCAAAGGTGTTTGGATACCTGTCTGTCAGTCTGCCAGAGATCTCTTCTGTCTTGGAGCTGCTGCAATTGCACTCTCCCTGACCAGTCTTCAGCGTTAGCTCTTGGGAAATGCATTTGTTCCATCTGACCCAGCCTTGCATGTATTTCATTACAGCCCTCTTGTTCTCTCTTGATGGAAGAAGAGCTGAATTTTCATAAAGCTTTGCATGATAATAACATAAGGAAATACAAGTTTTCAAGTTTCCCTCTTATAATAGCTGTCATGTACACTCTGTGATTAAGTGTTCAGGTGATTGCTACTCATAAAAGATGTCTATTTCCTGCTTTAGGAGGTCTGGTGATTCCCGTGCTGGGCTCCTGAGGCTCAGCAATGCCTTTGACCCTCCTTTTGCTTTAGAGCTCACTTGCAGCTGCCTTTTTTGCCTGTCACTTAAGACAAATACTTAGAATAGAGTTGGCAGAGTTGAGCTGTGAGGAAGCAGTCGACTGCGTGGGATGGGTAACTGCTTGTGGACACTAGAGCGTCTGCAGAACCAGTTAGAAGCTTTCAAGCTCCTGGATAGTTGCTCTGTCTGGGAGGCTGCTAACAGTGCAACAGGAGGAGGAATTTGGGAGTAGTAGCACAAAGCAGTGTGAGGTGGTGTGGGCCTGTTAGAACAGATTTGATGGAAAACCAATGCTGCTTTTTTTATCCTCTCTTCTGCTTTTTCCACAGAGAGACCAGACTTCACAGATGCCATTATTCTACGGAAAGGGGCCTCTGTGGAGCATGTGGTAATTTCTCTGCGTCTTTTACATTTGCTCGGCAGCAGAAGGCAGGGTTCCTCTTGGAATGTGTTGTATTTATGCTTTGTAAAGGTTGGAAAATGTCAACGTTTTTGTTGGGCTTTTGTTGTCTTGTCTAGTTCTGTCTGCCTCAGGTCTCTTTCCTAGCTACTCATGTTTGGAATAAATGACAGCTGACAAAAGTTACTTAATACAGGCCAGCAAAAAGAAAAAAAAAAGCACATAAAAAAGCACATGGAAGTCCTAAGTGGGGATTTATGTGACTAATAAGTATTATATTTGTGTTCTGTATTCCTTAAAATGCTGGTACCTGGCTTCTAAAGTCACTATTGTAATTTTTGATATAGATCTAAGTTGCTTCTAGTTTCTGGGTATTATACAAGTTGTTTGCAAAGAGGTGCCACTAAACTGTCTCATAATTTTTCTGTCCTGCAGTGCCATCGAATTCACAGATCGTTAGCCAGCCAGTTCAAATATGCCTTGGTGTGGGTAAGTGCATAATTCCTTGCACTTGAGAATTCCTTGTCCCCGTGTCCCTTTGACAGGTCTGTTCTTAACCCCTGTCCCTCTTTTGCTTTAAAGGGGACAAGCACAAAATACAGTCCTCAAAGAGTGGGCTTGACTCACGTGATGGAGCACGAAGATGTCATTCAGATCGTCAAGAAATAACCCTCTTTGCTCTTCACCAGTGCCTGGCCTTGTCTTAGTCACTAGAATTGGAACTGACCACATAAAAGCAAAACAAAACAAAAAGGAGAAAAAAAAAGAAACGAGAGAGAGAGAAAAGGGAGACGTTCCACAGCCAAGAAAGCTTCTGTGAAGCTCGTTCCCTTGGAGAAGGGCAGGGAATGAGGCTACTCGCAGGTGGGGATGGGGCTGATGGGTTTCCATCTTGCAGCATTTCAAGTGAGGTGATGACTCTAAATAAAAAAGGAGTCCACTTTTGTGGGACGGAACTCCTAGATCAGCAGCTCCTGCCCCTAGYAGGGTTTGCCTGTGTCCATCTGTTAACCTGCCGGTGACTTGCTCTGCCAGTGGGAARTCGATGGGTTTGTGTGAGCAAACCTGGCTCGCTGCTTTGGGACAGGGAAACAGGGCTGGGGGACCGTTCCTGGTGCTTTGCTGCGTGTCCACTCACTCAATTTAAGCATTTGAAATGGAAATACCTGAAACAAAGTTTTCCCTCCCCTGCTCACTGGACATGTTGCCTCTACAGCTTTCACCAGGGGCAACTTTAGTGTCTATCTGGGATGACCCTCAGCTAGTTTTTAATGGTGCCACCTTCATTATATTAAAACCTGGCACTCCGTGCCCCGTGTCAGCTCTGCAGTAGGGTTAGCAGGACATCTGGTCCAATTGGTAGTACCAATAGAAATGAGAAATTAAACCTTGCTAATGAGTGATTGACCCAGCCGAACTGCAGCCCGGTACGAGCAAAGAGCCATAGGCTGCCCTGGGAATCTACTTCTGGCATATCACTGATCCGAGAAATTATCTTGGGAATTTCCTGTTTTGCTCTCGTCCTGCCCGTTAGTCCCCAAGAGTAGTTCTGGGGATCTGATTCTTAGTCATACACCTAAATTCCAGTAGAAACTCTTTGGAGGATGAACTTCCATCCAATGCCATGGGTTTCACGGCAGCCCTGTTAAATAATACGGCTCGTGTGGATATTTTTCATGAGAATTGTGGCATTTTTTTCTAATCATACTTTTTCATTGACTATTGATGCTGACCAGTTCAGAGTGCCTGATAGAGAACAGCTCTTTTCTTCTGGGATCCAGAGCTGCCGATAGCATTTATTTTCTTTCATTGGAAAAGGGTTTAGTCTGATGTGGATTCGTAACTGCCAGGCCAAATCTGATAACAGATTTATCAGATCTGGGACGATCTTGGACCAGATAACTCGTCCAAGCAGTTGCCCCTTCCCTCTCTTTTGTGCTCCTCCCCACCCTTCCCAAACAGATCAAGCAGAAATGGAAGGAATATTTTATTTGAGAAAATAAAAGTTGCTATTTCATGTGAATTTTATGTGTCTACCTGTTTACACCAAACTCGGCAGTTTGGTGTGATTTCTAAATTTCTTCATTTTTTTGCATCTTCAGCTGCCCGAGGAATCCTGGATGCTGTTGCAAGAGGCTGGAAGGTGACATAGTTTGTGAAGTGGCTGAGGGTGCTCTAAGGTTGGAAGGAACCTAGATGGGATGTGATGGGAGCTAAATAGATAATATTCACCATACCCAGCTGTGAAGGTGACTTTGTAGTTTCCCTTTGTTGTTCCTGGCTTTGCTCACAGGTGGAATTAAGAGCAAATCCTGGCCGTGGTGCAAACTAGCAGAGAAAGACTGTTAAAACCTCCACCTAATTAGCCTTATTCTTCATTTAAGGAATTGGGCGTTTTCTTATCCTCTTCAGAACAGGCTGATAGGTGGTTAAATTTGGTATGGAGAAGGAGTGAAGACAGCTAAGTCTGAAGAAACCAGCTTCTTTTTTTAAGCAAGAGTAGCTATTTTTTCAGGCAAGTTCATAGCTGTATCTGGAAATATATGCCTTTAATTGCCTGCTGTGTTCATTCTTCCAGACGGCTTCGCTAAGTGCTCTACCCGCGGCCGTTAAAAGCTGCAAACGCTGCAGTTCRGTGCCAGAGCAGGTCTGCCTGGAGAGCTCTCCAAATCCCGGGAAAGCGAGGTACTGAGAGGGAAAAAGTGACTCCGGAGCCTGATTTAGCTCCAGGAGCTGCCTCCGGAGTCGATGGGAATTGGCCAGAGCCCTTGTTAGCCCAGGGATGTGTGACAAGGGGGAATGTAGGAACGCTTCATGGAGCGTTCCGGGATAAGCTGGGAGCTCTGCTCCCGCCTCCCAAAGGGCTGCGCGATTCCCGCCCCATCCCAGCTTTGTTCCAGAGTCCCGCGGGGCTCCGGGGAAGCGGGATGCGTCGGCTCGGCCACGCTCCATCCGCTCCCGCGTGCTGGAATCCGCTCAGGCCCGAGCCGTGCTCCGCCTAAAGCGCCTGTTCCAGACAATCGAGCAGGTCGCGTTGGCTGAACGCTCCTTTTATAATTTAATTTAGTCAGGAATCGTTTGCAAGGTAATAAAAAGAGACTCCAAATACATTCATTTAATTCAGCGAGGGCTGCTGAGCGCCGCGGGCCTCCCTCACCCCATCGCCCGGCGTCTCCAAGCGCCGCTCGGGGCCCGGGATGAGAGTCACGCTCCGCCGTGACAGCTCARTCGTCCCCAGCGCCACCAAGGGTCACCCCGAGCGGCCGCCCCGCGTGGCGCAGAGCTGCCGCGGGAGCATTTATGGCTGGCAAATTGTTTGGGATTCCTGCGCTCCCGCCGGCTAAATGATGAACCTGCCCCTGGGGATGGGGGCTATTGATTGTAATTTGCAGTTAAGCGCTCGCTTTTGGAGGCATCAGCATCATAAATACCCACCGCAGGGCTGCAGGGCTGCGGGTGGAGGCTGAGTCTGGCCTCCGGGAGAGGCTGCGGAGCTGATCCAGGTCCTGGGAGAGGCCACGGAGCTGATCTTGGTCCCGGGGAGAGGCCACGGAGCTGATCTTGGTCCCAGGGAGAGGCCACGGAGCCAAACCCGGACCAGAGAGAGGCCCCGGAGCTGATCCCGGTCCTGGGAGAGGCTGTAGAGCTGATCCCGGTCCAGGGGAGAGGCCACGGAGCTGATTCCGGCCCTGGGGAGAGGCCACGGAGCCGATCCCGGCCCCAGGAAGCGGGAGCTCGGTGCTGGGCAGCAGGATGGAGCTTTCTGAGCGCTCTCTGGCCSAAGCTGGTGACAGGGAATTGTCCCACTTGTCCCGAGGTGGAGAAGGGGCCCTGTTGTCGAGAGGAGCGGGACTGGCGCCTCCTTGTAGCTCCCTTCTCTGGGGGTGGCTGCGGAGCCCATCCTGTCCCTGGAGGGGACGTGTTTGTGGCCCCGTGTCCTTGTGGTTCCCCTTCCTAAATCGGCTCTGCCTGGGCAGGAGGCGGCGGTCGGGGCCTCGCGCCGCCTCTCTGAGTGTCCTCACCGGGGGCCCCGGATCCGTGGGAGCAAAGGGGCTGTGGGGGCTGCAGCCCGGGGACGAGGGCCCCGGCCGGCCCGTCGCCGCCGTTCCCCAGCGCGGCGCAGGTGACAACAGCAGCAGTCATCAAATATGCATCGGGCAGCAGCTGCCGCCAGCCAGCGCGGCCCCGCCGGCGGAGCGGGCCAGCCGGCGCCGCGCGGGCCACCTAGGCCACCCCAGGTGAGTGGCCGCGTCACCTTCCCCGCGGGCACCCGGCCCACCCCTCCTGTGGCCCCTTCCCCAGTTCCTTTTACCTGGAGACGTCGGAGCCCAGCGGAGCTCCGTGGCGCGGGGCTGCTCCCTGGGTTGAGGACGATGCTCTGCAGCGGTGAGCRGCTCCGTGCGAGCGTCCCGGGATGGGGATAGCGCCGGGCACGACGCTCCCAGCTGCTCCCACCCCTTCCCCCTGCATGTCACGTCCCCGGCGGGCAGGTTTCGCTCTCGAGCGGCAGCTGGTGGGTAGGGAAGGGCAGGACACAGAGGCTGTAAGCGGACACGGGAGCCGCCGCGCAGGCCCCGCGGGCTCTGCTGCTGCCAGCAGCCCAAAGGCACCGTGTGGCCGGGCAGCCCCGCGGGCACCGCAGCAGCCCCGTGGCCACGGTTCCCTCGCCAACGCGGTGCTGTCACCGGGCCCGGCCCATAGCCGGGCTCRGCCTGGCGCCCCGGAGGCTGCCCTGGCTGTAGGGAGGGCACCAGGATGCCCGGCACCAGGCAGGGTGTTGCTGGCTCTCCCGTGTGGCTGGAGCTGTTCAGGGTGATGGGATCRACGGATGCTCTGGGTGGGCATCTTCCCCCAGAGCCTGGACCCATGGGCACCCCAGTGAGTCTGTGCTGTTGGGTTGGCACTGAGAAGGCTGCCCTGGGCTGGCAGGCTCCCTGGCTCCCCAGGGTACCCACTGCAGCACCCCATGTGCCCTGGGGTACCCACTGCAGCACCCCACATACCCCAAGGTACTGGCTGCACCACCCCACATCCCTCGAGGTACCCTTTGCACCACCCCATAACCCCCACGGTACCCGCTGCAGCACCCTGTGTCCCCCGGGGTACCCGCTACAGCACCCCGTGTGCCCCAGCAGCTCCTGCTCTGTCCCCTTGGCCCTTGTGCCCCCCTCTCCTGCTCTACAGGGGCTGGGTGCTGCATCYGTGGGTGCAGGGCAGGGACTGGCTGTGCTGGGATGCAGAGGGTCCCCGGGAGGTGGGGGCAGCAGGGGGGCTGGGTGAGGCCGGGCCACGAGGTCTCCCACCCTCTCTTGCTCTCCTCGTCTCCCTCTTTCCCCTTGGAGAGCCCTTGTTGTGGGGAGCACCCGGGAYGTTGCCACACAGGGGCCCCATGGGGCACGGGGACCTTCCCCGTCCTTCCTGCAGGGCGCCTGGATGGGCCTGGCTCCCTGCGGGACAGGGTAGCACCCTGGGGTCTCCTGCAATACCCGTTCAAGGGGGTGCCAGGGCGGCCGCCTCCGCTCACCGCCGTCCCTGTGAACGGGCAGCAAATTCGCCTGGGCGCTCCTTAAACATTCATGAATTTGCAGCCACGGGAATCGAGGCCCCGCATTAACATTTGATGCGGTCGGTGACCCCGCTGTTAACATTTGATGTGGTCTCCCCGGCGCCGGGCACGTGCGGGCCCCGCCG